CTGGAGCTGGGGCTGGGAGCTGGTGAGGGCCCTGGGCCGGCTGGTGCGGCTGTGCTGTGGGAGCTGCTCCATGATGGGGCTGAAGGGCAGGTCAGGAGCGACGTGTGTGGGTCCAGACGGCTCCCAGCACTGCCACCGTCCTGCCCTCCACTGCTCAGGCGTGGGCAGGCAGAGAATGGGGGGGGGTCTGGCCAAAATCCCCCCTGGGGCTCCCAGGGTTCAGGGGGTGACATCCTGGACCAAGCCCTGCGTCACTCTCCTCTCCTGGGACAGGACTGGGCAGTCTCCCCGGGAGACACTTCTCTCTCCCTCCCAGCATCCCCAGTGCTGCCCCACGCTCCCTCCAAGCAGCGGGTACTGCCCCCCCGTCCCACGCTCCCATTTTTTTCCCTCAAACACACAGTGAGGGTCAGACCCGGGGTGCTGGTCCCCCGCCTGCCAGACAGCTCGGCTCAGCACCCCTCTCTGCAGCAGAACAGATCACACCCCTCCTGCCCGGCTTGCACCCAGGCTGCTGCGCACCCTTCCGCTCCACCCAGGCACAGACCAGCCCGCAGCGCAGAGCAACGGCACCCCCAGCACATAAAACTTCCAGGAACACGGAGATCTCTCAAGAAATTCCCAGATGGCTGAGCCAAACATCCACGTGAGGTGGTGCTCGGGCAGGCCAAACTCTTGTTTTACTACACAGCACTGAGGATGTGCATTAAACTGGTAGAGCAAGAGCTGCACTGGTTTCCCCTGGGAGCCCAGACAACAGCAGTTCAGATACCCAAGTCCTTGCAGGAGATCTTCTGGTACCCTGCAGACTGTGAACGTCCACCCAAACCTCTTCTCAGGGAAGGTCTCTCTGACACCAGGGAAGAGGGTTCCCATCAGACACCTCGTTTCCGCTCAGCACGAAGGTCCCTTTTTGGGAAGGGCTTTTCCCCTCCTGCTCTTTGCCCCCCTCCTCACTCCGAGACCTGCCTGAAGTGCAGCACAGGAGGGGGATGCCCCACTCGGGGCTGGCTCTGCGTTCACTGCCCCCGGAGGTGAGGAGGGTTAGAGGCCCGTGAGATCAACGATGGCTTTAATAAAGATGGCGTCATCACGCACGTAAGAGTTCTTGGCTTCCATCACGGAGACGGGGCAGAACAGCGGGCAGCCGCTGGCAATGTTCATCTCAGTGATGGGTCGCTGGAAGGAGGAGGATGTCACGTCGGGTCGGAAGGCATCGATGATGTGCTCCCGGTTGCTCTGATCCAGGAGCATCAGGGTTACCTGGGGGGAAAGGTGAAAATACACAAGAGCAGATGAATAAAAAGCACGTGGCAACCCAGCCCGGGGACCAGCTCACTCGAAGCCTCTGGGAAGTACAAGTACCGGTGCAACCACAGGCACATCACGCGGCTCCAGATGGGAGAAATGCCTGTAAGTGGGGCCAGCGGAGAATGCCATCTCGGTGACATTCTGCAGAAACCTCCCCACATAGAATCCCAGACTGGTTTGGATTGGAAGGGACTTTAAAGCTCATCCAGTCCCAACCCCCCTGCCATCAGCAGGGACACCTTCCACTAGACCAGGTTGCTCAAAGCCTCATCCAGCCTGGCCTTGAACACTGCCAGGGAGGAGCAGCCACAGCTTCTCTGGCCAACCTGGGACACTGTCTCACCACCCTCACAGTGAAGAACTTCTTCCTAATATCTAATTTAAACCTCCCCTCTTTCAGCTTGAACCCATTTCCCTTGTTTTGTCATTAACTGCCCTTATGAAAAGTCCTTCCCCAGCTTTCTTGTAGCCCCTTCAGGTACTGGGAGGCTGCTATAAGATCTCCCCGGATCCTTCTCTTCTCCAGGCTGAACAGCCCCAACTCTCTCAGCCTGTCCTCACAGCAGAGCTGCTCCAGCCCTTGCATCATCCTGGTGGCCCTTCTCTGGACTTGTTCTAGCTGGACATCCTGCCCTGTCACTGGAAACTTCTGTGTGGCAGCACAGGGCTGGCAGATTAACTCTGAAGACCTACAGCTGGCCAGCGCGGCGGGTGGTCCCAACACCAAGACCCCACGCAGACATTTCACTGGCACGGAGTTGCTGTCCCACTGCAAAAGGCGGCCCCTCTCTCTGCATTGGTACTGCACCTGCTCAGCCTTCAAGTGTTTGCAAACCTACAACGACCAAGAACTGCAATCTGAGCTGCTGACGCTGAGTGAGCATCAGCTGCACCCCGAGCACCGAGGCCACGACAACCTCCCCTCACCCCAAATCCACACAGAGGCCCCACTCGCTTTCCAGGGACTTTGTGACCGTGGGCTGTCTCCAGTCAGTCTAAGATGGCACCTGACTGTTGCTTGTACCTGGTGGCTTTCTGGACCATCTCTGTGGTACATGGGTTTTAAAATCTGGTTTCTTCCAGGATCCAAACTTTAGAGTCCTCAGAGGCCGCTGCTCTCCTGCCGGCTCCTGCCCCTGCCCTGCAGCGCTCGGTGCGACTGAGGAATCCCCAGGGCGGCTGAAACAGCAAAGTCTTTCCTTCTTCTGCTTGCTAAATAGGCCAGACCCATGGCGTCTGGAAGCTCGAGTGGTTTCAAAACTAGAGAGGCCCGTTGCTGGGCACAGCAGGCTTTATCCCAAACCCACCTTCTGGTTGAAGGGCCACCGCAGAAGCGCGTCGTTGGGTCCTTTCATCACCACAAAGAAGAGGGACAGATGGGTCCCACGCCCGGTGCCGTCCCCGTTCAGGTAAACACGCAGACACATCTTGTAGCCGTACTTGCTTGTGTAGAAAGCTGGCAAAGAGTTAGAAAGCAGAGACAGTGAGTGACAAACCCAACAAAGCCCAGTTCCTTCCAACTCCGAGGGCTCTATAAAGTTTGGATCCTGGAAGAAACCAGGTTTTAAAACCCAGGTACCACAGAGGTGGTCCAGAAAGCCACCAGGTACAAGCAACAGTCGGATGTCATCTTAGACTGGCTGGAGACAGCCTGTGGTCACAAAGTGCCAGGTCTGGCTGAGGGGCAGAGCGCTGGGGCACGGAGCAGGGCACCCACCAGCCCCTCAGGCTCTCCCCACCCACCACCACAGGCACCAGCACCCCGGGCAGAGCCGAAGCTGGAGTTCTGCCCAGGAGCTGGGCACTTCCCACTGCATCCCCCTGCAGATGCTGCTGAGTGGGAATAAAACCACCCAAAAACCCACCTGTCTGGGGACAGAGCACCCTCAGCACCCTCAGCGAGCTGGCTGCCTCTGATGGGGCAGAGGTTCAAGGGAGCTCCAGTCTCCCGCTGGGATCCCAGTCGCTCTGCATGCTGTGGGTACGGCTGGGGGGGGGGGGCGGGGGGGCAGGGCGGGCCCCCGGTCTCCCGCTGGGATCCCAGCCGCTCTGCATGCTGTGGGTACGGCTGGGCAGGGGGCTCTGGGGTCTCAGGCTCTCTGCTGTGGGCACGGCTGGGCAAGGGGCTCTGGGGTCTCAGGCTCTCTCCTTCCCCAGCAATTCTGGGAACACCAGACCCAGGCAGGGCCACAGAAATACTCCTTGGAAGGGGACCTGCTGCAAACTGCCCTCTCACAGCTCCACAGCTACGTGCCCTGGGTCTGGCCGGGCTCAGCAGCCTCAGGACTTGGGGCAAGAGATCAGAGGTGGCATTTTACTGCAGGACTCTTCTAGAAGAGGCAGACTAGCGATAGCAGAGACACTGTGCACGTCCTGAGGGCGAGGAGCAGATCAGGGTTTGTCACCACTTCCCTCCCAGCACAGCCCAACTCACTCCCTCTAGTCCTCCCTCTCCACCTGCTTCACCCAAAGGCTTTCAGGGCTGATGCCACCCTCTGCTAGTCCAAGCAGCACATCCTCACCACCCACATGGGGCTCCTCAGCACTCCTGTAACCCTGTGAATGGAAAACCAGGCAGGGAACTGGGGGAAGGATGGTCCCAGAGCAGTGGGAGTACCCAGGAAATGGCAGCAGGTACCCAGAGTGCTGAACACCTTGTGCACCAGCTCAAAGCAGGGACCATCCCACTTCTCACCGGTCGGAGCAAAGGTGAAGCGCCTTGGAAGCAAACCAAGAGCCCAGCAAGACCCCCCTGGCAGCAGGTAGCTTTCCAGCAGCAGCTTCGCTTTGGACTGTCCCCATCACTGCTCCTGATGAACTTTCTTGTGGGGATTTGCCTTTTTGAACTCTTACAATTTTGCCCTTTGCAAAATCCTGGGGCAGCCGTCGTGTCCTCACAACACAAGTGAGCGGTAACTCCACTTCCTTCTCTTTAACACTGATCTCATTCGCTACTTCCTCACTTTTACATTTAAATATGAAACAAACAATTCTACTGATTTCCCCTTTTTATTCTATTCACAACCCAGCCTTCTCCCCTCCCAGCTGTCTCCTTCCCAGACTGAACAGCACTAGCCTCTGTGCTTCACTTTCCGAGTTTAAAAAACCCCACCTGCACCAGTTTTATTTGTTTCTCAGTCTGATTTTCTCGGCTAAAGCAGCACCAGGAATGAGGATCTCTCGTCTAAAGTACTTTGCACTTGCAAGATAAAAAAAAAACAAAAGTCCTGCCTTTTCCAGAAGCAGCCCTGGTGTCAGGCAGCAGCAGCCCTGGTGTCAGGCAGTAGCAGCCCTCGTGTCAGGCAGTAGCAGCCCTGGTGTCAGGCAGCAGC